CACCCCCTCACCAAACCCAGCGCTGCCCACACTAACCTGTGTTCAGGCTCCCCCCTCACTCCACACCCCCACTGCAATGCACAGCCAGGCTGCTTCCATTCCCTCCCCCTCCCCCCCGGGGAAGACAGTGGCTAACGCTGCATTAAACAGGGCTGCAGCCCCCAGACCCTGTGACTGCTATTTTCTCCCTGCTTCATTCCCGGCTCCCCACCCAAGGGAGCGCCCCGGGTAGACGTGGTGGCAGTGCCCATCCCGGGCAGGGGGTGGGCACAGGCCTGGGGTTTCCAGGACGCGCCCCGTGGTCACTCACCATCCAGCGCAGCCACAGGCTGGTCTCGCTGGCCGTCCGCAGGGTGACGTTGGCGGGCGCCACGTCCGGGGGAGCCTGCAGGGTCTGCATCCTCCTGGAGGGCACGCTGGGCGGGCTGGTGCCCACGATGTTCACCTGCCGCAGGCGGAAGCTGCGAGGAGCGGAGCCGAGTCACCGTGGGCAGGGAGAGGACTCAGGAGGGCTGGGGGCACCCCCCAAGTTCCTCACCCGGGGCTACAATACAACCCCCACCCCTGTCAGTGCAAAGCTCAGGGCGCCCCACCATCAACGCTGAACCCATGCTGTGCTCCGGGGGACACTAGGGGGCGCTGCTGCTGGGGAAAGGTTCAACCACATCTGGGACCCAGAGTTCCCCTCCCTGATGCTCTCGGGCTCCGCTACCTCCCCAGGTCGGGGCTGACACTGGGGGCACGGTGCTAGGGGAGGAGAGGCTCTGCCCAGCCCCTCTGGGGATACCCGTCTTTGGCAGAGGAAAGCCCAGCGCCCGATGGGCTGAGAAGATCCATTAGGGCCAGGTAGGGTGACCAGACAGCAAGTGTAAAAAATCAGGATGGGGGTGAGGGGTAATAGGAACCTATACAAGAAAAAGACCCCAAAATCGGGACTGTCCCTATAAAATCGGGTCATCTGGTCACCCTAGGGCCAGGCCCCCTTGCCACCCAGGGTGGGCGCCAGCTGCCTGCTGGGCGTGGAGGGGGATTGTAGCAGCCATGGCACTCGCCAAGCGCCGGTCCCCAGCACCCACCTGTAGTACATGTACGGGTGGAGGTTGGGCACCTCCATGGAGCGGGCATCGGGGTCGTTGGCCAGCTGGTGAATAAGCTCCCACTCCTCGTTCTCGCCGATCTGACCCACCTGTGGACAAGGGGGTGGCGTGAGGGCCGGTGGCGCTGCCTGCGCTGCACATGGGCCGTGCCGGTTGCTCCTGTCGGCACAATGTCCCAGCCCAAGGCGGCGGAGGCCGAGAGCTCCCAAGTGCAAGGTGCTGTACACCCCCCAATCGGTCTGGATTCCCGGCTCCTTCACCTCCCCCTCCAGAGACCCCTCACCTGAGCTTCCACCAGCCAGCGGGAAATGGAGGTCTTCCCGTCGTAGCCCGGCCTGAACTGGAGCGTGACGGAGCGCGGGCCGATGTTGGAGATGCCCAGATTGGTCGGCGCGCCGGGGAGCTCTGCAGGGAGAGGACAGGATGGGAAGGGATGTCCTGTCGCGGGGCCAGGGGGCACCCGCGCCCGTGGCAGCAGTGGGGGGATGGACCGTAGGGGAGAATGGCACAGCCACCGGAGCATCATGCCCACGCCCAGGCAGCCCTAGGCGCAGAGTCCCCCCCAGCACGAGCGGCCAGGCCTGGCCAACAGCTGCTAAGGAGCCAGCTCCTGCTCTGTGCTGCTCGGGCCCAACCTGACCCCCTGCTCCAGACCCGCTCCCAGCACGCTCTTCGGGGGGTGCCCTCCACCCAGGGCAGCAGGAGGGTGGTGATGGGAGCAGAAGGGGGCTGGGAGCCGGGTTTACCTGGAGGGACCCCGGAGGAGATGGTGGAGGAGGACAGTTGGCCCTGCCCCTTGGATGTCATGGCGGCCACCTCGATGGTGTAGGTGGTGAGGGCGGTGAGGCCGGTGACGCGGTACTCCAGGGTGACGTTGGGCAGGTAGTGCGTCACCCGTGTGTTGGTGCGGTTGTATTCCTCCCAGGAGATCCGGTAGCCTGCAAAACACAAGCCAGCCACATGCACACGGGCGGGTCACACTCAGTCCCGCACTGCGGGAACCTCCCCACCCCCCCCGGGGGGAGACACCCTTCAACTTGCCCGCACCCCTCCCCAGGCCACCGAGTGGGCCCCAGCCAATGCAGTGCCACCCTCATGCTTTGCTGGCAGAGGGGCCTCACTTCCCAGATCCCCCCAGGAGCCTGACAGCCCGGCGCAAGGGGTCACTAGCCAGAGGCCGAAGGGCAGAGCCAGCTCCTTGAGCCAACGCTGGTCCCTTCTGCCCCACACCCCTCGCTTGCCAACCCCTCTGCGGTTCGGGATGTTCAAGCCGCCTGGGGGGAGGGGGGGGTTGGGAAGGTCCCACCCGCCGGCTCTTGCCCCGAATTCTCCACCGAGTGTTCGCCACGGAGCCAGTTCCCCACCATCGTCCACAGCAACATCCGCCCGGTGTAGCGGGCGCTGCCCCGGCCACGCCAGCGCCTCCTTGGCACGCCGTGACGTGGAGGGAGCCAGACGTGGCTGGGATGCGGAGGATGGGGCCGAGAGGAGCGGGGTGGAAATGGGGTAACTGAAGCACTCCAGGAGAACGGCAGAAGCTGCAAGGACTTTAGGCCTCCCGCATGTGGGAAGGAAGGCGCAGGCGGCCGGGGAGACAGGACTGTCCTGCGGCACAGAGCGCGTTCCCGGCTGCGGCCTTGGGCAGCGCCAGGCTGCAGCTCAGCTGGGCCGGGGGAGGCTCCGGCAAGCAGCCCCCCGGGAGCCCCTTACCGGTCAGGATGCCGTTCTTCTCCAGGGGCTCCTGCCAGCTGACCTTCAGCGACGTGTCCAGGATGTCGCTGAAGCTGAGGTGCCCCACGGGGCCAGGCGCTGCCCAAAAAACCCCAACGCCAAGAGTTAGAGTGGAGCAAACTGCACATCTCAGCACCCCCTGTGCAGCCAGGCCGAGGTGAGCCGGGGTCTCCCCAGGGTGCTGGCCAGTGAGAGCGAGTGGTGAGCTGGAGCGAGCAGGGGTCTCCCTGGGGTCTCCCCCATGGGGAGTTGGAGGGAGGGGGGGGTCTCCACGGGGTATCCCCCAGGGTGAGCTGGAGCGAGGGGGGGAGTCACCCCGGGGTATCCCCCATGGGGAGTTGGAGCGAACGGGGGTCTCCCTGGGATATCCCCCATGGGGAGTTGGAGCGAGAGGGGGTCTCCCCCATGGGGAGTTGGGGCTCTCCCCGGGGTATCCCCCATGGGGAGTTGGAGCGAGCGGGGGTCTCCCTGGGGTATCTCCCATGGGGAGTTGGAGCGAGCGGGGGGTCTCCCCGGAGTATCCCCATGGGGAGTTGGAGCGAACGGTGGTCTCCCTGGGATATCCCCCATGGGGAGTTGGGGCTCTCCCCGGGGTATCCCCCATGGGGAGTTGGAGCGAGCGGGGGTCTCCCTGGGGTATCTCCCA